ATCGGAGGGTCGAGATCCATAGCCAGGATCTGATTCATGCTTTCCAGAGTTAGAACTTCCAGCCTGGTCATGATGCTCTATACACGAAGTCAATTGTCAGCAAAGGGAGATATATATTCTGACGGCGGCTGGCTCTCGTACCCTTGGAATCGTGGTGATGGCCAGTCACCGCATCTTTGACCTTGTGAAGGAGACTTGACATTGTGTTGCGCTTCGAGGTAAAAGATCAATCCTTGAATGGGATGTATATCAGCTTTGGGATGTATTCCTTTCAAGTCACGATTCGATGTTTTTTGAGGTTGTAGACACCCGGCCGTGGACATTGATGTATACCGTAACGACGGGCGATTGTACGACTTATAGTACACGGACGCCATCCAGTCAGATTTGCATGATCAGTGATGGAGGGTCAAAAGCTGGTTCAGTTTAGGACAATGACGCTGGATGTCTTCATTATGCTTTTGCTCTGCGTATCTTGAAGCCAAAGAAGACGATTGTTTGTGGTACCCACCACGTCACTAGCCCCAAACGGGACCAAATAAGCTACTAACTAGTAATTGGAACCACCAGCCACGACCTCGTTCGGTGACCGCCACAAACCCCCCACGTTCAGCGTTCCACCTTTACCCATCGTAAGGGGAAATAGACCCATAAAACCATGAAGTGGTTTTTTTACTATTGGTGCTGTGCACTGCGTAAGTACTCTTCGAGTGGAAACCTTTTTGTCGTATATGGTCAGTATATTTGGATGGCTATAGAAAATTGAGCTGAGGAGGAAGCCATGATTCAGCATATTCCAACAGTCACATCGCTCATTTTTCAGGCCCCAAGGACATAAAGCTGGAAGTCTTGTGGAATACATATTTTACGAATGTTGACGTAGAATGATTCAAGTTCTCTCGTATCTGGAACTTTACGTCACGTGGGCAATTAATATCGAGATGAATGGACATCCATGGATGCTCTTTCCACTAGCACACAAATCGAGCCTAGGGCAGAGTGGTCCCGTGAATGCGCGTAGGGCGACGATCGAAATGCAATCCGTTGGTGTGGGGTGGGGGTCGATGACAGCATGATCTGCGGGAGACGATTTCTTACCTTCTTCAGAGAGGAGTTCTTGAAAATCGGGTCTCCTACGGGTAATATTAACGACTTGGTAGCCTTGGGATATTGCAGGTGTCCGGTGATGGTCAGATATTGTACGATACACCTAGTCGTAAGACCTGGGAGAAAACACAACAAACAAACCAGGAATGTGGACTCTACCACGGTCACCAGGTCGGCAAAATGATTCTGGGGAATCAATAAACACCCAAGAATCATTAGAGTTAGTGCCGGCGTTGCCTGATCGTCCTGCCTGAGGCACCATACCCACTATCCCGTGACTCCGAGGCTGTGCTGCGCTTGTTGCGTGTTACGGAGACGCTCTCCAGGCGCTCGAACGGAGTCACCCTCACAAACTAAACTCTCGTCCTTTCTCCCCTTCTCCACCCCCCGGTCGCATCATTCATGACTCTCTGCAGCTCCTTTTTCCCTCCTTCATCTTTTGTCCCCGGGTGCTGACTGAACATCGTTAATTTGATTCGCTTTCCCTTTGTTGTTTTCCCTCCCCTCTCGATGAGTGCCCGCTTTAATCTCCTTCGACGACCGTCCGATTGGTCATAGCTTTCAGTCAACAACAAAAAGAGCCACCGTACCGAACACTGAAACTCTCCTGGAATCCTCGTCGATTTCCCTTCCAGTCAGACAGAGGCAGTCTTCCGGTCGTCTATCTCTGACAAGGCTCAACTATGCGACCGCCACGTTTGATCTTTCTTGTTTTCTGTTTCATCTTCTTTCCGATCTTCCTCACTCTCTTTTCGGTTCTTACATCATCGTCTCGTGTGACCACCCCCAGTTCGTTCGCGGGTCGAGCGACGGGACTTCATGCTCTCTTTTCTTTCAACATCCCCTCCTCGCTATTCCCACCGTCTGCTATCATCAGTCTGACCGATGATAACTCGACATTCTTCCTGGCCCGGCCCGCAGCGTTTGGCCCGCTCCTTCCCGACAACGGGCTCAGCGGTCAGCTATGGATCGGCAGCGGATTCGGAGATAGAACACTGCCGGGGCGGAAGGTGAACTAGGGTGTTCAGATATTCCAGGATGGGGTGAGGGCGAGGGTCACAGGCAGGACATACCAGCGGCGTCGGATCCCATACTCGGGAAGCCTGTGCCCGGTGGTGGAGCTGACCCGGCAGCTTCGAATATTCATCGTACAGATCCTAAGCAGGACATCGACACACAAGCCAGCACAAATGACGGGGTGGTGACACCGTCGACGAACGATGGCACGGATGATCACCTGCACCACCCACTCCCCGAATCTAACGTAGCGGAGTCGGGGGCCTCTGAGCAGCGCGGGGATAGCCACCAGAACAGGCAAACTGAGCATGCCGATATACAGTCTTTACAGGAGAGCGCTGAGATCAGTGGTAAGGTTGTTCTATTGAGTCGGGGTGGTTGCGGCTTCTTGGAGAAGGTCAAATGGGCTCAAAGGCGTGGAGGGATCGCGTTAATTGTGGGGGATGATACCCGTGGAGGTAGCCTTATCACCATGTACGCGCGAGGCGATACATCCAACGTGACAATTCCCGCACTATTCACATCGTATACCACGGCGCATCTACTCTCGTCGCTTGTTCCTCCGCAGGCCGGAGGAGAGTCGAGCGTAGATGATCCTTCTGGGCAACGCCACACAAAGCTTTCCAGCCAGAGTACGATTGGAAACCAGCAGAAAGCGCCTACGATGACATCTGCCGCGGCTGTGTCACCAACCTCCACGCGATATGCCGCATCACCTGGTGGGAAATCGACCTCGGCAACCCGCAAAGCAGGCTTCATTCAGAGTCTCGTGTCCCTGTTGGGAATAGAGAGAAACAGTGGACGCGTACCAGAGGATAGCCAACGACCTCCCAGCAGTGGGAACATTGATTGGGTTCTGAAGGATCCCTGGGATGATATGGAGATATCTGAGGACGACACCAATCGTGTTACCAACCGGGCAAAAGCCGATAGCGGTGCTGGCGACCGCAAGAAACCTGAAGTTGCTTCTCAAGAGGCCGACGGTGATGGGTTTATGATTGGTGTTCAGGATTGGCGTGACCCAGACCTTCTAGTCCCGATCAGCAGTTCCATCCCATTGCCGAGCAATGTCCCGGAGCCGGACGCTAGCAAAACGCAGACCACCGGGAAAGGCTCACGCCCCACAGGTTCCTCGCTCAAGGGCGGTAGCATAACCCCAGGAAGCGGTGAGTATCGTACTCTGGATAAATCAAAAACTAGCAAAGGAGGGTTGTACAGCTCCAACCACCAGAGCTTGGCTAGTGACACCCAAGGACACCCTAAGCAGAGCAAGGGATGGTTTGCAAGACATGTCTCTTGGACGAAGAGTGACGAGAAAGACGCGAGTCGGCCTTTCAGGCGAGACTATATCGAAGATCGAAAGTTGCATGGTGCATCTGCAGTCCAGGGCCTCCAAAACGCTGGACAGCTGGAGCATGAGGGTCTATGGGTCACACTGACACCGACAAGCATGTCCACTAGTCCGTTCTTCGATACACTTCTGATACTCGTCGTGAGCCCCCTGCTTACACTGACGGTGGTGTATGCTCTTTTGTTGCTGCGCTCTCGCATCCGTCGACGACGTTGGCGCGCCCCCAAATCTTTGGTTGACCGTCTTCCCGTAAGAACTTACCACACAATCAGCACATCGTCGTCAACATCATGCTCGTCCCGGTCCTCTAGCCCTGGCCCGGTCTCACCAACTTCGCCCTTGCTGGGCTCAAAAAGCCGTTCGGGACACCGTCGCTCTCAGGAGACACCGGAGGCCATGGTAGACCTGAAGAGCTCCAAAATGAAGTCATCCAAGAAAGAGAAGTCCGGCCCGTCATCCGCGCTCTGGAGGCGCAAATATACTGGCCGGCAGGTGGAGTGCGTTGTCTGCCTCGAAGAATACGTGGACGGACAGAGCAGGGTGATGAGCTTGCCCTGTGGGCATGAGTTCCATGCGGAGTGCATGTAAGTGGCAGTTAACCTAATTGTCTTCTGGTATGTGTCGCTAACAGTAACAGTACGCCGTGGCTGACCACTCGTCGGCGAACCTGTCCCATCTGTAAAGGGGATGTTGTTCGGTCAATGTCCCAGAACAAGGACGCTGAAACACGCGAATCTGCGGAGTCGGTTGACCATACCTATCGTCATGAACTAGACTCACATTCAAATGCATCGTCCGCTCCTGTCCCGATTGCCAACCACGGGGAAGATGAAGTGTCTGACCTCGAACGCCGCGGCGGCTCAGATGTTGGTCTGCTTGAGCGGCACTCATCATCGGCGCCTCCGCCAAACTGGAGAAACTTCGCCGCCCTTAGCTTCTCGGCCTTAGCGGGGATACTATTTGGCATCAAGGCCGGACTGATCGCGAGCGATAAAAACTTTCCCTTTTCCTTTTAAATACCCCTGGCATATAGTTACAGCAGAGCATGAACCTCGGTTCCTTCAGGGACCCTCCGCTTTGCGAACAGAAAATGTTTCCCATTGGCGATCATTTTAGGCTGTCCACATCGGACTTGGTTGGCGTTACGGATATGGTGTGCAGGCGCAGTACAGGACGATACAGATCATTCGCTCTATGAGGCGGCTGAATACAGCCCGCAGCCAATGATTTCATTCGTGTTTCCTCTTTCCCGGGCAGTTACTAGTTTCTTTTTATTTTCTAAATATGGTGAATAGCATTTTCTGGTTGTATTGCGACGGCACTCCCCTTCTTGTCCTGTCCATGTCTACTGTCTATTTCGTATATTTATATGATGATGTATATTAAACTGGGTGTGGGTCGAGGCACTCGATCTATCGATCGGGTAATATAAATAGATGCGCTATTGAATCCCGTGACGTCATATTCCCGGCGCTAAGCCTCCTGAATCAAAATAAAAACAGCACTCCAATCTTTTCATGAGCTCTCGCAACCAACAGACATTAGCCACGCCATGGATGACAAGGCCAAGAAAGCCCTCATTGAAGAGGCCAAGCATGCCCAGGAGGTCGCTCAAGATGTCGCCCTATCAGGCGCATATATCTATCCTTTTAAGGTGAGCGATCCTTTCGACAGCTCCCTAATGCGAGCAGCGAAACAGATATGGTCACCTCATACTTTTTGCGCAACATGAATACACGCAAATCCTAACAGTAATTGCGCGCAGGGCATAATTTATTTTGCCTACCACAAGGATCTCTGGCGTCCGCTCCTCTCGCAAGTCGGGCGAATCAGTACCCTCGGTCTTAGCGTGACAGGCACTATGTTCTTTTTCACCTATGTGCCACAAGTAGCGATCATGTCATTCACCAGCGGCCCCTTTGCGCCCATTTCCGCCGCTTTGCTTATCCTGAGTGAAAGTTCTACGATTACGAACTTCCTCTCCCGTTCTTTCCTCCTGGAAGAGGCACTGACGGATACCTTCGACGGCACGCTCGTTGCCCGCGGTCACGAATCGCTTGTCGCAGAGGGTCGACAGATCAAGCCCAAGGCGGGCAGAGATGCCATTGCCCGACTGGGCAAAATGGTGAAGCGGCCCCTGGCTCAGTTGAAGCCACAGGCGTTGCTGCATACGCTGATCCTCCTGCCGCTGAACTTTATCCCGGTGGTGGGAACTGCGTTGTACGCCTATGCGCAGGGGAAGAAGCTAGGGCCGGTGGCACATACGAGGTATTTCCAGCTGAAGGGGTGGGGCGAGAAACAGAAAGATGCATGGGTGGAGAAGAATAGAGGGGCATATACGGGGTATGTTCGCTTATTCCTTTTCGAGATAGTTGCTCGGTATCGACTGTTACTGACATACTTGCTAGGCTCGGAATCGCCTCGTTTATTTTGGAAATGATTCCTTTCGCTTCCATCGCGTTTTCATTCACGAATACTGTTGGCGCGGCGCTGTGGGCGGCGGATTTGGAGGCCGCACGCCGGTAATTTCCTTGTATATATCCTGGTTAAAACCAGCATTCAATATCCCTCTGGGAGTGTACAGTAAAAGCATCAGTTTTGGGACTATTTTTGTATTACATCAGGACGCGTGGATATTTATATTTAACAGGGGCTTCAATTGGGTTGAATTCAATTTATCATTTCTCTGGGGCTCCATATTGGTTGGAGAAGGGGCAATTTTCAATACAAATGGGCATGTCGGAGTAATAGCAGCACATTCAGTGCTCGTACTCCAGCTTAATCGTGCTATCTAGTGTGTGCTCCTTTGTAATTGTAGGTGTGAGAGATGATTTGGATTTAGGATCACACATTCCTGAATGCTCTTATAAAAACATAATTGTAGAGGGCCGAAGGAATGCATAGCTAGGAAGAAGGCTGTTAATTCTTTAATCTTATTACTAAAGGTCTGTATACTTCATTTTACAGGGTCAGGAACCCGAAGAAAGGAAGGGCGTCACTCCATCGTTTATCGAATAACCTCTTCGAGAACTCAAATATGAATCGTATGCATAAACCCTGTGGTAAACGGTTACATTGGAATTTCACACAAGATACACATACATAACCACAAGTTTTCCGTGAAAATAATTATGTGGCTTGTTAATCAGTACTGTCAGTCTTCTATCTTTCGTCGCCAATTGTTGTGCACGCGTTGCCGCTCCATGGGTCTGTAGCCCAGTACCTCTACCGTAATGGCCGTCCGGCATTAACACCGCTGTTCTTGTTTAGGTACGTCCACTAACCTCGAGCTTTTTTTCGTATACCTCCGGTAGATTTCTTTATAATGAGGATATTCGACTATGTGAGCGCTATGTCGATTTCGAGCCCAGTGCCCTCTTACGAGAGGCGGGCAAACATATTGGCCCTAGTCATGGCCCCCCCACGTTCATCAGGAAACTCGCCGAAGGAGGCTTCAATCGAGTTTTCTTTCTAACTATGGATGACGGGTTCGAGGCCATTCTCAAGGTTCCATATCGAATATCCGGGCCTAAGCACTACGCGACCGCCAGCGAAGCTGCCACTCTACAATATCTCCACTCCAAAGGTATCCCTGTGCCCAGAATATACGGTTACTCCTCTAGGGATGATAACCCTGCTGGCGTCGAATACATCGTTATAGAGAAGGCGCCAAGTGTCAGCTTAGAGACTAAGTAGCATAGTATGAGCAAGCGAGAACAGCATAAGCTTGCATCCAGTTTTGTTGAAATCGAGAAGAGGTTCTTTAACATTCCTTTTGGGTCTATTGGGAGTATTTACTTCAAAGAGGACATCTTGTTTGACCTTCAAGCCGCGCTATACATTGCGAATGCCGAACATAACGAGGACTTAGAGAGAGAGATTTTGTATTGGCCCTACGACGGATTATATGTTTTGGTATGGGAAACGAGTTGGTCTCAATCGCTACCGTGGACCCTGTGGGTTTACCTTATACTTACTGCCATAACTTTCAGCCTTTGACCATACATTGTAGGGTATGATCCTAAGAAGTACCTTGCGGCGATCGCGGGGGAAGAGATCGAATGGACCAGGCGGTATGGGAAGCCAATGGAGCTTGATTTCCCACATAATGGCGTCTTTCCCGGGGAAAAGAATCCAGAGGATTACCTCTCCCTCCTAGATAAGTACCTTGCATTGGTGCCGTATCTTCTTCCAAATAAAAATGATAGTCCGCTCAATCAGCCAATCCTCCGCCATCCAGATATGTGTCTTCTGAAAATTTACGGAACAAGTCTTAACAAAGCCCAGATTTGAACCCAAATAACATTTTCATTTCACCTGATTCCGGTGCTGTCTCTTGTATTATTTATTGACTGGCAGCATGCAACGGTTGAACCGCGTCTGCTGGTAGCAGGCTACCCCCGTGCATTTGAAACCCAGATGCCGAACAAAACCCACACTTAAAAGAACCGTCGCTGCCAGTAAACTACGAAACACTTTCAACTCAGGAAAAGACCGAGGCCGATGAACTTCATCGCCGATGTCTCCTCTTTTACTACTACCGTATATTCAACGGTCACCTCAATAAACCACATCTCGAAGCTCTTCGTGACCCCATCCTTCTTCCTCGCCAGCATCTTGTGGATAGGGCCGGCAGGCAATGGAACGGGAATCTAATGACTTTGAAAGGGGCATTGATACGCATGGTCGAGTATTGGTCTCATTTACCCGGTACAAAGGAGTTACACTGCCCTGTGCAATTTACGGAGGCTGCATTGGAGGGCTTCCATGATGAAGGGCTGTGGTTCAACCTGAACAAGGTGGTGAATCATCGGCGGGACCAAATCGGTGGTGTAAATGAAGATGGTTGGATCAGTAATCAACGATATGACGATGCAGTCGAGGAACTTGTTCGGCTCAAAGAGTCCCTTGTGGCAAGCGCAGAAGGAAGCCAGGATGACATTCGTCTACTGGAGAAAGGGTGGTTGTTTAGAGATCGCAAGGAGATTAACTGATTCAACATGACTTGGTATTCATATAGCATGTCTCAAAGCGACCCCTAACAAACCCCGGTCTCATTCCTGATCTTGACCAGGAAATGTTACCGCCCACAAGATTCCAGTGGAAAAAGAAGTCTCTGAAAATAGACTCCATGTCACTACTAGTAGTTCGTAAAGCAACAACCTGGCTTTGAAATCGCCGAATTAGGTTAGCTTGATTGCCGATGCACATGTCGACATCAAGCGCTTTCTCTCATTCAAGTTTTCCTTGTTCTCCTCCTCGTTTGCCCTCAGTATTCCACAGCATCCAGACCCCTCTCGTCATATTGTGCCACTATTGTTATCTATACTACCCGCGCTTTCGCCCGTCTTTAGTGCACGCGTTTCTAAGACCGGTTGCCCAAATCTGTCTCATATTGACCATGCTTGACGCAGAGGAGAAGCAGACCGCTCATTTAGAGGACTCCGGACCACAAGTAAATATCCTTTGTTCGGTTCCAGGATTTGTGGCACCGGATCCAGACAGCGTCAACGAGAAGGTTACCCCCAGTAATACAATCATGAACTGGGGTGGTGTGAAGATAGCAAAGATATTTCCTGATATTGTTGTGAAATTCGGATCTCATGTTACATTCACCGAAGCGCAGAATATGATATTTGTCAAACAAAACACAGAAACTATGCCGGTACCGAAGATCTTTGCCTGCTACACTTATGGCCCAATACAGCGGGATATTGGAGACTACGGTAGTCTGTTCGATACTTATATATTTATGAGTTATGTCGAGGGCCAGAGCTAGATAAAGTTTGGGAGACTTATGACACTGTTACAAAACGTCGGATCACTAGTCAACTGAAAGAGTACCTCTGTCAGCTTCGCCAAATTAGCAATGGAAATTCAAATTACATCGGCTCAGCTGGTCATGGCCCCGTTGCCGATCATTTCTTGGAGGGTCATCATAGCAGAGGTTTGTAGTATTTACACCAGGATCTAATTAATATTAGTCGACATTAATATATATACAGGACCATTTGATTCCGAAGAAGATTTTAATAACGCAATAATCGACGCATATCATTCAAAGGTACCAAGATATCATGTCAGAGGCTTCTTGGCTGGTATGCTTTCAGAAAAAAGTCACAAGATTGTGTTTACCCATGGAGATCTATGTCTTCGGAACATTATGGTCCACGATGGATATGTCAGTGGGATCGTGGACTGGGAGTATAGTGGCTGGTATCCGGAATACTGGGAGTTCTCCAAAGCTTGCTATACTTGGCAGTGGCAAAACGATTGGACCGACTTACCTGGCACAGATTCTTGAACCTTACTATTACGGATACGGAATCCTTACTTTCTTAAGTGAAATACTATGGTGATGGCAATTAACATTGTTATCCTGGAGCTAGACTTGCCCAAATGGTAAGTGGCTGCTACCTTACCACCTTGGCTTGGATATGATTGCTTGAATATAAGTTATAGAAACAGTGGAAAGGTGTTGCACATGCAACCATCTAGATAGGACTGATCCCACGAAGATGCAGGAGGGATGGACCGCTGTTTTGATCGCCTGAATGATGAAGCCCTGTTTTTGGGGGTTTCATAGTAATATGGTTTATTCAAGACATGCGAGATAGTACTGTACTATGAAGACTCCAGCTTAGCTGGAATCGTCAAGGACGATATACTTCCTATTCCTATTCAGACTGGTGTAGCTTCCATTTGCTGTTTGGTATTTACTCGTTGTTTGTGATTACCATAGTGCTGCGATACTTGTTTGTCCAGCACCGCCTGCATAATGTAATCATTGACGGGACAATCTATTCCAAGCTGCATCTCCAATCTGATTAAAAATCCATTTAGGTAGACAACCCCGGTTTCAGATCCATGGCTTATATCCTGCATCACGGACGCCTTGTGTTGGGAGAGACGTTGAGCAATGACTTCAACCATCGAAATTACTTCCTTCGCTGCGAACTCAGTTTTCATGTCTAAGCTTGTCTGGAACGGTAGCGGAAGTTGTCCTTAGTACCGCTGATATCTCCTCCAGCATAAGCCCAATCAGCCTTTGGTGTCATGGCTGCTGTGAAGAATATGACATGCCGATTTTGCATTCCAGCAGAGCAGTGAGTGGATTCAAGACCGGGCTTATCACCAGCTTCTTCAACTGCAGATGGAGAACTCCCTCGACACTCAGAGGCCGGGCATATAGGTTGGGGCTGTTGGACAGAGCATCAACTAAGGGCCGGGCAGAACGTATGAGCTGAAGAGGGAGGAAAAGCTTACGTTGAATATTCTCTAAGCCAACAAAGTATGTGACGAAGCTACATTATGGAATGACCAACTTTTCTGTGGCCCTACTACTACTTCATAAGATACTTGATAGTTAATAAATAGCGGGCTTGCGGGCTTTTTACCGTGACCGATTAGGGTTAGTGATTTAAAATGTATTCGGGTTCGCGCGGGAAGTTGCTATATAAAAATCTGCCCTAACTTCGTAGGAGATCCCTGTGCTTATTTCAACCCTATATTCTTATGACAAATTTGACACCACCTAGACTCAGTTGAACTCACACAGACTGTACTACTAGTCATGTTTGACCAGGGGGGTGGGATTCTTCTCTCTAGTTTCTCTTCGCACCCCTACTAGCGCTACTGCTAGTGTATAGCCCACACTCGGCCTCGGCCCTCCGCAACACAATGTGCTCTGAAAAAGAAAGAAAGAAAGGGGAAAAAAGGCTACATCGACTGCCAATGATAGGCGGTAGGTGACCTTTCTGCCTGGCCACCGCCAGCTGACTTTCATTCTACTGGTGATGCTTCCTCTTGACAGCACTTGACTACTATTGATGGAATCCAAAGCCCACTATGCGAACACGACCATTCCCTTTCATCGGGATGCTCACCAGGGCTGCCCCAGCTGCCCCAGCTGCCCTGCTGTGCAGCTTATGGACGGCACGACTTAGCTCCCGGCAATCGGAACTGTGCTCGGAGATTCTGGCCTGGATGATACTGCCGGATATGTTTAAAATGGCAGGACGACTGAAGGCTAACAAGGCTCAGAGGAGAGCTCCCTTGAGCGAACCAGCACACCAGCGTCAGCCTGCAAAGTCATTATGGTTAGTTGCGCTAGGTATCTCGACGTTTTGTGTTTACCAAGCAGAGAACGGGTTGGTTGGAGTCTTTGTAAGTAACGCTTCTGCCACAGGAAAGGGAGTTGGCCGCGGTGCTGACCACAGGCAGCCAGTACTGACACCGTTACTTCTGATAGCGGAGAGGTATCTTGGTTCTGAATTCGGTGATTCTACAATATCTAACCCACAGTATTTTACTCCTTTTATCAACACAGTATGGGGTACAGCCGTTGCTGCTTCATTTCTTATTCTTACTTTGGCAGATTGGGAGTTTCAAGGGTATTTTCTCTCGGCGATTCCAGTTATTGCTTTACTAGGTGTCTATGGTACTCTTTCGCCGAGGCGAAACTCTCGGTTTCTCCCTTTCCTTGATCTTGAAGACACCATTCGTCCCGTTGCGTTGCGCGTTGTGAGCCTTTTGGTCATGATATTGGGTGCCGAGACTGTCGCGTTTGGCTTCCCTCGAAACCTTGAGCCTACAATCATATTCATATTGGGCTTCGGAAAAGCTTTGACTTGGTATCTCTTCACTGTGATAGTATGTTGCATTCGTCATGGAGGGATCGAAGCAGAACTTACCATTTCAGTAGACTCGGCATTGTTCCTGGCGTATTGTCACTACCATAAGAATGTTCAGTGTTATATCTACACGAAATCTATTGATGCTGTCTTCAGATACCCAGGCCTTCTTACATATCATAGCGTCGCTCCTGACACTCGGTCAAGTGATCTATATGCTCCCATGGCCAACAAAAACCCGATCGGCGCTCGCAGGCTTTTCTCTTGTAGCTCTTATTCCATACCTTACCGACAATTTCAGGATTGCACAGACGTCCATGGTATCGTCTGGACAGCATCCTATCGAAGCTCTGATACGCACCGCCCAGGCGGACTTCGACAGTATACTCCGAAACCAATCCCCAAACTATACGGCCGCTTATAACGAATATCGACGGCGATACGGGATGGACCCGCCACCGGGCTTTGAAGGCTGGTATGAGTTTGCCAAACAGCATCAATCGCCTATGATTGACGAGTTTGATAACCTCTACGAAGTCATCTCACCGTTCTGGCAATTTAAAGGTCAAGATATTCGTGATATGATGGATGAGATACAAAGTATGCGTGTGCTGCACAGCGAGCTGTGGTTCTGTACGTTTTCTAGTCAGCAGGCGAAGACTCACTGTAGCCATCCCGGTCGCACTTTTGACAGACACATACAATCCTCACTTGACCACCTTTTGAAAGACCTGCCCGGCATCCTGCCTGACGTCAAATTTCTTATCAATCATCTCGATGAACCGAGAGTCCTGATCCCCCCACAATCGCTGGGAGAAGATGGCCTCCTCAGTCAAGGCTTCAACTTAACGAATCTGTCGAGACGACCTGCTTGGGAGGTCGTTACGAAGTCCTGCTCCTCCCGGGAAACATCAAGGGCGCAGACTACTCACGCGACTGAAAAGTCTACCCTGCCCTTCGTTGTCGATCCCGCACTGGCCATGGATCTCTGCCAGCATCCCGAGTATAGTGCCATGCATGGTCTTATTACGAGCCCGACATCTTTTTATCTATTTCAGGGTGCAGTGCCGATCCTTTCCACGGGCTCTCTTTCGACTATGGGGGATATCCTATATCCCAGCCCAGCTTATAATGAGCCTGAGTTCAAATATACCGATGACACACACGATCTTGACTGGGAGAGAAAGAAGAACAATCTGTACTGGGCAGGCTCTACCACTGGTGGCTTTGCCGTGGATGAAAAGTGGCAGTACTACCATCGACAAAGATTTGTTCAGCTGGCACAGAACCTAGAACGGCATCAGTATCCTTACCTCCAGGAACATGATGGTGTGATTAGCCAAATAAAATCGTCGCTATTCATTACCGGCCGGTTATTCGACGTGGCTTTCACTCGAATCTTCCAATGCGAGCGAAGATACTGCAGGGATCAGCATGCATACTTTAAACTAAAGTCATGGGCAGATAAAGACCAACCTCTCCGGTCACGGCTAGTGTTTGATATAGATGGAAACGGTATCAGTGGCCGGTACTATAAGCTTCTTGCTTCCAAGTCAGTTCCATTGAAGCAGACCTTGCTACGGGAGTGGCACGATGAACGTCTCAGGCCATGGGTTCATTATGTTCCAGTTAGTCTAAGTATGGAAGAGCTTCCTGAGATAGTTCGGTACCTTACATCCACTGAGGCTGGGCAGAGAAGGGCTCGAGAAATCGCAGAGCAAGGCCGTGACTGGTTTGCTAAAGCCTTCCGTGATGTTGACCTGACCATATATATGTACCGACTAATGTTAGAGCTAGCAAGGCTACAAGATCCGGAAAGGCTGGCTGTCTGATGGGAATATCTAGTTTTGTATTAGGACGCACATATGCTTAGATTTAACCCCTGCAGTCCTGCTCTAGTCGTCTTAGAGTAGCCTCATGTGCATATTTGCTGTAGCTCTGCACAAGTGATCAACTTCCATCTGTTCCAGAGAGATGGCTTTAGAAACACCAATTTAGGGTTGGTTGGTATGTAGTCATTCTCGGGTTAATACAAATACTTGGGAAGAGATAGAGTGGCATTCAAGATACCACAGCACTACTACGGAGCCAACGGGGGTCAGGCGCATTCCTAGTATCCTCCAGAGCGTATAAACTGTAGTACGTGGCACTACGCTAGTAGGCCAATCAATGTCTTAGACCTACAGAAAACCGGCCTGCCACTCTTCCGTACTCTAGCGCCTTGGAACTGTACCATAAGAACCCACCACTGCGCCACGTTGCCCAATATGAAAAGACGCATATGCCAAGACGCCCGGGCCACCATGGAGGCCGCCTAATCCAGAACCTATGGTTGCATTTGGTCGGGTTTCTTCGCTAGTGAAGTTTGTTAGACTTCGCCGGGCCTCTGCGAATTTCCTGATGTAGCAGATATATTTGTTTACATGTTTCTAACGGATCGAAATTCGAGTTATGCTCGTCCTTTTCACACGTTATAGACTCTTTCGCAAACCTGGACGTCACCGCCGTGCTCTCTTGGGTTTGTCGATATGTTTCATAGTCTGGACTGTGCTGGAGCTGCTTCTCATTCAGCACCGAGTCTCCGTCGTTGATCGGATTCCATCCACTCTGCCACACCAATTCGAGCGGATATTTATTTCCAGTACGCACTGGAACAACGAAGCTATCCTCCGGAGCCATTGGAACAATGCAATTATCCAACTAGTGAAAACATGGGGCCCGGAGAACGTTTTCGTGAGCATTCATGAAAGCGGGAGCTGGGACGACACCAAGGGCGCGCTTCGGGAACTCGATCTCGAGCTGGATCGATTAGGCGTACGGCGGAATCTGACCCTTTCGGAGACAACTCATCAAGATGAGATTTCAGCTCCTCCGAGCGATGGCTGGATTGACACTCCCCGTGGCTGAAAGGAATTGAGACGCATACCTTATCTTGCTCGGCTGCGCAATCTAACCTTACGTCCTTTGGAGGATTTGGCACGGAACGATATTGTATTCGACAAAGTGCTTTTTCTAAATGATGTGGTCTTCACGGTATGCGTCTCAATTTGTACGAGAATCGGATATAGGCTCATTGACTGCCGACACAGGTGGACGATGTGATCTCATTACTCGATACCAACGACGGTGTTTACGCCGCTGCTTGTGCTTTAGACTTCTCCAAGCCTCCTCGCTACTACGACACATTTGCTCTACGTGATTCTAACGGAGATGAGACTTTGATGCAAGAATGGCCTTATTTCCGCAGCGCAATTTCGCAGAATGCACTGCTTGCGATGACGCCAGTACCTGTGAAGAGTTGCTGGAACGGTATGGGTATGCAGCTCTTTCTTTCTTTCCTTTTTTTTTTTCAATTCATTTTGAAGGGCAATGAACTGACCATACACTATTATAGTAGCCATGCCGGTAGCCCCATTTCTATCAAAAGTACCGTTGCGATTCCGTGCAATCCCCGACTCTCTTGCGCAGTCCCATCTGGAGGGCTCGGAATGCTGCTTAATCCATGCAGATAATCCTCTTTCCGCCACGAAAGGCGTTTATTTGAATCCTAAAGTCCGTGTTGGGTATACTGACCTGGCATACGCAGCCGTTCATCCGACTACGACGTGGATCTCGCTTCACAATATCGCCCTGGCCCTTTGGGAGAACCGAATTCGACGCTGGACCACGAGTCCGTTCTTCCACAGATGGGCTATCCGAAGAAGAATCACCAGCTGGGAGAGACATCACAGCACCCGTTCTGAGTCCGCTACATTTTGTTTAATTGACGAGATGCAGGTTGTTGTGGGGAATGGGTGGGCTCATGTGTGATCCCACATGGGCATTCACGTGATTGGTAAGCGTGGCTGTATGACTGCGGGGACAGTTGATTACCAATCATCTCCGTTGTTCCGATTTCCTCGGATTGTACTGCAGCTCTGTACCAGGACGGTATAGAAGATTTCACTGGGTCTACCCGAGGACATGCCAAGCCGAAATCCTGATTGGTAATCAATGGCACAACGACAGAGTCTTAGCAACTGTATGACGCTTGCGAAGTCGTACAGCTCAGGTATCTTCTCTTTGCCCGTCGTTCACAGATTTGTTCTTAAGCTATCTTACATAGGTAAAGTTATATTTCTCAATTTCTGGCATCGCGACTATGAGTTTGTTTGTAACCATTTCACCGCGTAGCCGATCTACTCTTCGTTGCCGAGGTATGTAATGGCAGTGTCAGATGAACGTAGGTAATATGGACATGTTGTTGATCGAACCAACTCCATGGCAACTTCTATACTATAGTCCGTGAGAGGAATATGATAACTCTTCTTGAATATACAATGAAGTCAATAGATACAAGGTCTGACGTGGTGTATATAGTACAGTAATAAAACAAGATATCAAAATAACTAGATGCTGAATATCCAATAAGCCAGGATAATCCAAGGACCAAGTAACCAGAAACCTCGCTCAACGTAGTCAATCCAAGACAATAACACTCAAGTGCCAGGGCCAAAAAAAAAAAAAGGAAATCACGTATTCATCAGCGCAACGAATTTCGCCTTCCAATCTTGGACTTCCTTTGCCGATTCTCTTGAAACCTGCAGCTCTGCCTCTAGAGACTCATTCTTTGCTCGAAGCTCTTGAAGCTCCCTGTTTGCATGTTCGAGCTGGGCCGCACTCGCCTGCAGTCTTTCGAGGTCTTGGTCTGAAAATCGCCGATGTTCTAACTCCCGGCGCATAGCCATCAGACTGAGGTCGCGGATCTGGATGGTCTGTATGCATCGGGCATTTTCATTGCGGAGGTTCTCATTTTCTAGCCTCAGTGCTTCACTTGCTTCAACCTCTCGGTATAGCACATTGAATGCGGTATCGACCTCGCTGCGCAGGCTTATATACCGAGATTTTCGCTGGCGTGGCGGCCGCGAGACTCCGGGCTGTGTATTCCCGTTTACACCGATATCTTTATTGTTGGGTGAGGCTTCCTGGACTGGAGCAGTCGCTGGTATATCCTGTCTGTCACTGATGCTTTGTTCATGCGTTGAGGAGGCCTGTGGTTGTCCATGCAGGGGTGCAGCATGAGAGCACGGAGTTGCCACTGAAATACTGTCAAGCTCTATTGCCGGAACACCCGCAGCAGGACCACCATGTCCCTCTGCTAATCGTGGCGAAGCGGGTGCGGTAAGCGTAGGAGGAGCTACATGCCAGCCGCGACGCACGCATACGGCGCAAAAGAGTTGATTTTCGGCGTTCCGCAGCCACCCAGCAGGCATGCACTCGCTATGCAGTGCCAGTCGGCAGGTCATGCATGGCTCGAGTCGATGCGACTTCCAGCACACGCGACAGTAATCCTCATGGATGGACCCGTTTCCTGATGAGGAGTTGTTATCATTGGTGCTGGTTATCAGCCTGTGCGAGGAGAAAGAGCTTTCTTACGTTTCCATTCTTTGTGTCTGTGTATTTGGGAATCAAGTGACTCCTTTTCGAGCGCAGCTAAGGTGTCTGGCCAGCTTATGCGTGATTGCCCGATAGGTACGTTGGAACTGTCGTCCTGGCTCTGTTCCTGGTTGATAACCCCTGTCTGTCCGAATGGAACTCGGCGAGGGCCTCTCTTGTTTCGCCGAGCGCGTACTTTTTTCACACCCGCAGACTGCATATCGGTTTCTTTGCTTGATATGCACAGTCGGGAAGGTGAATCAAGGAGTCAGTGTGCTTGATCAGATTCAGTTGGCGTGGTGGCCGAGATGGAATTCTCTCGGCAAACTAGCACACTGCTTATCAATGACATTTAGTCTCCCGTTCCTCCCCGATTTCTGACCCCTCGGCTCTTGCAGTCCCGTCATTCTCCTTGCGAATATATCAATCACTCCATGAACTCACACCGAAGCTGGACACAGTATTCCATTAAATTAATTTCCTCTCTACACAAACGACGAATAAATAGAAGACAACATCGCCACATGCTAACCCCTTTACAAACCGCTTTGGTCGTTGGTGCCCCAGGTGCAGCTTGTGCACTGCCATGGATTGGCTGGGGCACTTACATCCCTGGTAAAGCTGCGGCTTGAATTTGAGAATATGGATAACCACTAGTATACTTGATCAACTGAAGCATTGAAGTCTATCATACATCGATTTCTTGGCGAGAGGGGCAGTGCTGCATGTTGGCGGCCTGAGGTCAGCCTTGCTTCTCGTACCGCATTGATTTCTTAACTGTGGAGCATCTCCCACTTTTCAATCTCTTGACCCACACTGCCTAGTCTAAAGCATCGAAATGTCGCTTGACGCTCCTCACCGTCAGCTAGAAACGCAATGTTCTCTATGTCAGACTGTAGAGGGGGTCTTCAGGCTGCGAAACAATCACAATCATCCTTCACACCGCTGTATTGCTTTCCCTTATGGCATCTTAAAGCAATTCTTCCATGATGACTGTTCCAAGTGCTTGGATATTGACATGGATTCTCTATGCCCGACTTGTAAGCACATGAGGCTGGGGCATCTTCTGCGATGTGTCCTCCCCAGGTTCGGTCCAAAAGCGGGAAAACCTGGATATAACACCATCTTGAAAACAGGTGTGGTAGGTTTGAACCTGGGGACCCTCCGCGAAGTACAAAAGCGATCCACATCTTGCCAGACCTGCCGAACCTTTGTCAACCAAGCGTCAGTGATAGCAGATCCGAGTAAATATGCAACAGACATGGTAATAATGCTCTCAGTGCAACGGAAGCCGGGGGTGATCCGAGGTATTCGGCATGAATTCACGATTCAGCTGTTACTTAGAAGATATTATGAACATCCACGTTTTGCAAGTATGCTGGGATTCTCAGGATAAACTTCTAATCGTCCGTTTGCTATTGAATCGGCATGCTAATCGCCTATGTATTCTAGAAAGTACAACATTCCTTGCAACTGTCGACCCGGCATCCGGCAACAATCTGATATCCTTACAACGGCCGCAGCCGAAAGTGAACTGGAACGCAGTCTCTTCCTGGCTCCAAGAGTGTGACAATGACACTGAGCATGAAAATCCTTGTCGCCCCGAAGTATGCCAGTTACCAGTTCAGGGATTCCGTGTCATTGACGTACGGAAGAGGCGCGTGGTACCCTTATCTCAGCCCTGTAGATACGCTACATTAAGTTATGTCTGGGGTAGAATTGAAAACTCCCTTCAAGCAACTACAAAAAACATCAGAAACCTGGAGACGGAAGGATCTCTGACCAAAGAGAATTACTTATCGGCAACAATCGATGATGCAATCTATGCTTGCTCCAGATTACAGATACCATTCCTTTGGGTTGATCGTCTATGTATATTACAGGATGAGAGGTCAGACCAAAAAAAGGCCCAGCTCAATGCAATGGGTCAAATCTATAGACAGTCCTATTTAACCCTGATTGCGATGGCAGGAAGCGATACTAGCTATGGTCTTCCGGGCACACAAGGGCAGCAGCGATGCCCAAAGTGGACGGGCCAGACACAGGGTATTTACCTGTTACAAGAAATTGACGATTACTACTGGCTGACCAGAGAGTCCAAGTGGAGCAGTCGAGGATGGACATTTCAGGAGTCAGTGCTTTCCCCAAGAATACTAGCTTTTTCTGACCAGGGCGTTTTCTACCAATGCCGACCCAAGCCTCATTTTAAAGACGAGGATCATGGAGATCAAGAACTTGACTTCTCAGTAACCCAAATTCCACTGTCGTCATATGAGGACTTACTATCCGAATTCACGACTAGGGATCTCACCTATAAGTCCGATATACTTGACGCCTTCTCCGGGGTTTTGCACTTGGTATATGGAGTCGAGCATCATTACGGTCTGCCATTTAGTGATTTCAGTCAGGCAATTCTTTGGGTAACCAAAGATGGGAGATACCCCATGCGGCCTCCGTGCATTCCAAAAAGCTTTCCGTCATGGTCATGGTCCTCTATTGATAATGCTATATCACCGTCCTCTGGTGGACTTAAATGGACTAAGATTTCTGCATCGTTAGCCCAATGGGCAATTCCACCAAGATATACAAAATCTTTTTTGAAGATCCTTCCGAACCCATCTACACATCAACATGAGTTGGATGATGATTCCAAAAAACTTTTCCCTTCCAGCCAAGAGCACCTACTGGCTCGACTTGCTGTGTTGATGGCCTGGAAAGGGGGGTGTTTTCCTGGGACACTCCCAGAATGCCTCAACAATGAAGGTACATGGGAGCAATACGATACCATCATCCGCCAGAGATGGGAATCACTCGCCGACATGACTGACGAAGCATATTGCATGCAAGGGGGGCATCTTACTGCCCATGAACAAGAGACAAGATTTCCAATTCAAATGCAGCATGCTTGTACAGATGGATGTATTATGCTTTTTACCCAGTCAAAACGTCTTCAGATCAGAGAAAACAAAGAATTTGTGAAAGCTATGAAACTTGTCGATCAAGACAGCGGTATAGTCGGGTGGCTCACACATCATAGTATCAACTGGGAGCGGCTTCAGAAGATTCCCTCGTGGAATTGCGGTGCTGAGTTTGATGTTCTGGCTCTGTCCATCTCGTACCAGACGCACTTGTTCACTGAGATCTTCCGATTTATCCCGGTCAAAGAATATGGCCGCGAGGCGTCAAACTGGTATGACTCGGCGGGGAAATGTATTTTTATCGAGGAACATGATGACAGAAAGTACTCCCGGATCAGTGTTCCCTGTGTTAATTTGATGGTCGTCGAGACAAAAAATGGGATCCGCAGGCGCATTGCGCTAGCAGAGGCTGCTCTCAAAGTCTGGATCGAGTCGAAACCCGAGTTTCACACATTTATTCTTGGTTAGATAGACGATATGATAAGCTCTATATAGTTTAACGTGAAGCAGCTGGACAAGCTATACTCCAGCTGAATCTGTTGATTTCTATTTTACTTTTCATTATAGAGGCGTGTATTCTCAGATCTACCCTCAGGGAATTTATATTGCTTCAGTCAGGTTGCACATGGCCTTAAATATGACAACAGATCATCAACTGCGCTTCTCCGTTCTATACAATACGCGAAGACCCAAGGGCTCTCCCCTCCTTACCACCATATGTAGTCAAGCTAGGCTTACGAACGCTACCATCAATTCATCATTATACTAGTTCCGGTATTTCTCAAGTAGCTACTCTACCGCGAACATTGTCACTTCATATGCTGTCATCCCAGTGACCCAGTCTTGATTACACCCATTCTCATCTGGAAACCGGGACATCTTATCAAGACCAGTACTATCCAGTACTCCAGTTTCTATATTGCCAAGAATGAATGAGGCGGATAGATGAACACTGCAATTTGTCCGTGCATCACGGAGTGAACGTGATATACTATAGCCACTTGTCCTCAAATTTCATTCCCCGTTTTATATTCGTCGAACCTCGGCTTCAGTCCTGAGCCATAGCTCACCCCCCCTGGCTATGAGGGATTTGTTTGTCGATCTAAGAAACGGAATTGCTAGTTTGTTTATTCTGTTATTCACTCGGAATGCCCCGGAATGCTTCGGAACGGTATCGTATGTATGTAATATGTAATTCTGGTAAGATACATACGTACATTTCCAGATTGCACCCTGTAACGCTAAGCCTACTCTGGAGTCCATGATCGCGATCATCCCACCCAATACGGGCTTCTTATTGGCTGTATCGCTAAATATCCTCGTCACTACACTATTTTGAGTCTGCCCCGGATCCACGATCTGCAAGGCTGGCTGGTCCACTTTTGTGGGGTCTGTGCTTTTTGGCTCGGAAATTTAATCCGGGAGACTTTTAGTTATCTTCTTACGTTATTGCGTTGAGTAACTGTCTACATTCATGGTGGCCTTCATCAGTAGGGTAAAAACTAACCTGTCTCACGACGGAGCTCACGTTCCCCTATTAGTGGGTGAATAGTAATTCCAACGCCTACCGAATTCTGCTTCGGTATGATTTAGGAAGAGCCGACATCGAAGGATCAAAAAGCAACGTCGCCATGAACGCTTGGCTGCCACAAGCCAGTTAGCCCTATGGTAACTTTTCTGGCCCCTTTAGCCTCAAATTTCGAGGGACTAAAGGTTCGATAGGCCACACTTTTCATGGTTTGTATGCGCACTGAAAATCAAAATCAAGGGGACTTTTACCCCTTTTGTTCTACTGGAGTGAGGAGCTAGAAAATTCAAAATAAGAGGACTCTAAGTTGCTAAATATTCACGAAGTACGGTTATGTACGGCTTAATGCCCCCCGTATAACCTGGCCCAGTCTCTCCACCGCCTCGTTGAGCTTCTCCTCCTTCTCCCAGGCAAAACATAGTCTCAGTCTGTGGCTCAACTCATTTTCGGGTAGGGTATTCCCGGGTACAGCAAATAATTCTCCCTCCGCAACCACCAGATTCTGTTCCTTTAGTGCTATTTCTGTGATCTCCTTGGCGTTGAGATGAGCCGGGAGCTTGAGCCAGATGAAGTAACCTCCAAGTACGGTGTAAGACTCCGAGTCAGAGATGAAGGTCACACCAAGTGGAAGGAGGTGCTGCTTGATCGCCGCTGTGAGAGTGCGGGCGCGCCGAGAATACGCTGGTAGAAGCGTGTCGTGTAGGTGCCTGTCAAGAGAGCCGTTCTCTAGCATGTCGTTGATGAAGGTCGACATGAGCTGTGAAGGTGCACCGCCAGAGTGGGATGAGCCCCTGCAACCTTTAGTTCAGATTTATGATGGAAGTGTAAAAGGGAAAGGCTTACGCTGCAGAGAGGTCACGGATGAACTCGGGCGTTCCCTCCGCCCATCCAACCCGACATCCCGGCGCAACGATTTTACTAAAGCTGCCATTACTGACACAGTTCCCGAACAGGTCAAGCGGCCCTCCGTCTAGAGATGTGTCCACGTCTATGATCCGCGGCAAGTGGGCACTCTCCCCACCGGTGACATCCGCCGGCTCCCAGTTTAAGAAATCATAAACATCATCGCTGACGATGAGAGCATCGTACTTGCGCGCGAGGCGCACAAGCGCTTCCCGTCGCGACAGCGGCATTGTGGTTCCGGACGGATTAGAAAATGTTGGAACGCAGTAGATGATATGTGTGTATGTCTTCCGGTAGGGACGTTCCGGAGGCGTCGCCTATCTGCGTGTCAGTCACTTTCTACAATATGATAGTGTGAGAAGCGGATTTATACATGTTGATGATCTGTGGCACTCTTCTGGAGAGCTTTCTCAAGAAAGTCCACATCTATCCCACACTCATCCTCGGGCACGGCTCTGAGCCGATTGTAGAAACCGGCGTCCTGGAAGATACCAAATACTAAGTGGTAGATTGGTTCAACCATCCATACATATCTCGTATGCATGGGATCAGTGAAGACCTGTAGCACGCATGCAAGATTTTGACTGGCACCTCCAGAGATGCAGATCCGTTCTGCACCCACGGCTCTCGAGAGACTATAATTCCTCCTCAGCCAGTCCGCAATATTCTTTCTGAGTTCGAAGTGCCCTTCATCTGGACCGTATCCTAGCCCTTGCTCTGTGATGATGGGATTTGACAACACAGACACTGCCGCATTTTGTAGGGTCTGAGTAGGGAACAAATCTGACGCAGGCCAGCCGCGGGATAGATTAAGCGGAGATGGGGGCGGCATTTTAGATTATTGAGAATTCTGCACCAAACGTGATTGTTCCAGGTTAAGTAGTGGTTGTTGCGGACGGGCATGTAGTCATATATCACTTGCCGAGGAGCGGAGCCGGTGTGGCTGGATTCGGAAATGTATGCGTTCCGTCCAATCAGAGCGTAGTTTGTAATGTCATCGTGCGCCCTCCACACCAACATCCTCATCAGAAATATTTAAGCAACGATAGCATGCTGCCTAAACCTGCTTCTTTCATTTCTTGTGACCAACCTTTATCTGATCTGTGGCAAAGCCATATTCATTGAATACAGGCGAAATGGTCAAGATCGAAGAATTCGCCGTGGAGCGGGTGAGCGCTGCAGAATAGGTATAAGGCACCCATATACTGACCAAGAACAGTGGATGGACGAGTATGAGAACGATGCCAAGTACAATCTCGCAGAGACCTGCTGTGCATCAATCTCGCTCAACGATCTCATCTCCTTATCTGGTCAGCAAACCAGCATCATAGACTATGCTCAGAAGCAAGTCTACGGTGCAATCCGGGGGTCGAAGGCGTTGAGGTCTAACATTGCCCAACTGTACACCACCGAATCTTCAGATTCCCTGTCTCCAGACAACGTTCTCGTCACCAATGGTGCCATCCAGGCCAACTTCCTAGCGCTTTACACAAACGTGGGGCCTGGGGATCATGTCATTTGCCACTACCCGACTTATCAACAACTGTATTCGGTTCCTGAAGCTTTTGGCGCCGAAGTGGATCTTTGGAGATCAAAGGAAGACGCCGGGTGGCAGCTGGACCTGGATGATCTGAGATCATTAATCAAGCCAAATACGAAACTCATCATCATTAAGTGAGTGGCTGTTAGATTATACTGCCCAAGAGATGTTCTAACGGATGATATAGCAATCCACAGAATCCAACGGGTGCTATTCTCAAGCGCGAGACACTACAGGGCATCGTTGATATAGCACGTGAGCACAATATCATGATCCACAGTGATGAGGTGTACCGGCCTCTTTTCCATTCCCTCAATGCTGACCAGCACGAGAACCCACCGTCTATCCTCTCGCTAGGATATGACAAAGTGGTTGCCACAGGCTCAATGTCCAAGGCATTCAGCTTGGCGGGTATTCGTCTCGGATGGATTGTTTCGAGGAGTCCTGAGATCATTGAAGCATGCGCCTCTGCTCGCGATTACACCATTATTTCTGTCGGACAGCTCGACGACAGCGTTGCGACTCTTGCTCTCAGCACGCCAGCCGTGCATAACTTACTTGAGCGCAATATTCAGTTAGCCAGGCAAAATCTTGCCACCCTGGAAACTTTCATAAAAGAATTCGAATGGGCTATTGAATGGACGCGACCACAAGCAGGCACCACCGCGTTGGTCAAATTTGTCAATCGAGAAGGAAAGCCGATTGACGACGTTGTATTCTGTCAACAGCTGCAGAAGCAAACCGGTGTGATGTTCGTTCCTGGCAGCCAGTGTTTCGGGGGTGGAGTTGACTTCAAAGGTTACGTCCGGATCGGCTTTGTTCCAGAACACCAGGTTATGGTAGATGGCCTCCAAGCTCTAAGAGAATTCATGCGCAACGGGTATGAGCAGTTGCCTGTTGCCACTGCATGAGGCTTGGGAGGCTATAGACCATATGCTGGCGCACATGGTATCATAGACTCCTGGCAATATTCTCCCTGTCACTTAGAGTTCGCCATACTATAGTCACCGGGAACCAAATACAGACAATCTCTGAAGGGTAGCACTAGAGGAGAGTATCGGTCAATCCCAACGTATACTCAAAATAACACTAGCTGTATCCCCTGCTCCGCAAAGTAAATATCCCAGGGTAGAAGACTACCAGACGACCAGAACATTCTCAACATATCTCTAGCTCTGGTGTAATTGCCCAGTCCAAGACTTTGCATATTGGCCATGCGTTTTTGGATTAGGTCGCGTTCGCTCACGAAGCTGGTCTCACAGCCGGCAGTAAACATTGGCCAGAGAATAAGTATGTTGGCAGGAGAGAAGGGATCTATATTTAGAACAGCGTTGACGATGTTGGTGATATCCTCCTTGACTTGACTGTGGTCCCTCGGAAGCAATTGAACCCGACGGTGGAGATGAAGCAGGGAAGCATGGACAAAAGCACGATGAGTGTGTTGTAAGTCAACTGTAAGCGCACTGTCATGGTTTTTCGACGTGGAATCTGAAACAGTCCTGTCCGTAATAGACCTGATCCTGTATTCCAGCTCCTGGGCCTCTTCCAACAGCTGCCGTGGCAGGGTGAACTGTGCGCCACATTTTGCTGCCATGAATAAATCTTGTCGGCCTGCCATCTGTCCCAGCTGAGCCAACATTGGTATCAGCTCCGGGCAGTAGCCAGATATATCGTCTACGTAGCCAACCTGTGCATCAGGGATCTTGTCCAGGTACCAACATGGATCCCTGTCGGTTGGGCTTGCACAGATTCCTGTCAGATTCGCCATAACATCTAGCGTAGCAAACCACTTGACTAGACACAAATCGAACGGGTCAGCAACACTTGGAGCTTCGGCGTGGCGATCCAAGAATGCAGCCAGTAAACGGGTTGCCCCAGAGAGATGGGCCTGCCATATGTCCCGGTTTCCATTGCATATATCGTTTGTCGATAAAGCAAGAGCTGTCATGGTTGTCTCTGCTTTTGGCATCTCCTCTGGGCTATTGAGGGCAGCCCGTAGACCGGAGACAGCATAGCTGGTGAACTTCAGAGTAGCGGTCCTTGATATCGCAGCAGTATCTCCCACCAAGCGGCCGTGATGACTGCTCGCTGATGCTAGGAGCGCATGAAGTAGGTGAGGCGTTTCGAGGGCGCGATTCACTAACTGATGCACGAAAATGCTGGGGGCAGCTGGAAAGAGGCGCGGAGCGGTCTCAGTAGCAAAGAGACGGAGAAAGAATAGAGACTGCTCTGTTGATAGAAATGGAGATGGGTTAAGATGAATCTGACGTGGAAGAATCACGACTGATTCGTCGATATTAGTACATAAGCTGACTTTGGGCTTTATGGGACTGTGCGGAGGCTGTTCTGATGCATCTTGACGCTTTAAGCGTTGTCTCTCACTGACAAAGTTCTGCCCATATCTACACTCTTTTGGAAAGCGAGTGCATCGCGAGCAAACCGGCCTGCGCAGATCGCACTAGACGTGGGCTTAGCGGGGAGTTTTAGGTATTTGTGCATGAGAAGTATTACCTTGACTTTTTTCCTTCGACACTCTGAACAGCCATCTCGCCTTCGTTGTGGAGGTGTGGGAAACTGATTCCCGAGGGCGACCAATTGCTGTCTCACTTCAAATACTACCATTTTCAATGATCAAATTGGAAGTTGCGGGTGAAATGCAAGATGTGTTGATTGATCACAATCGCCATGCTCTTCGGAGGGGAGGAAACGCCTTGCACGTGACTCATCTCACTTGAGGGGCTCGATTCGCCGCCACTGTTCTGTACTGTAAATACATACAGAGACGTATCAATAACCAGAAGTATGGAGATGTCCAACACTTCCACTACTCTGAGTCAAGTAGACGATAACACAGCTGAGGATCCCATATTGTGTATAAGGTTCATTCATGATTGGGACCATCGCATTCCTCGCCAAATCGGGAAACGCAGAGTTGGGGTCAGTATATGCGGACTCTACACAAACATCTGAAGTTTTTTTTGTTTTGTTTTTTTTTTTTTTCTTTTTTCTCTCTCTTCTTTTTTTATAACAGCATATCGGCACAACACCTTTCCTATTCACTTCAACAAGAAATCGAGCCTACAGAGGAAATCATTTTCAACAGCTGCCACAATGAAGTACACCCGGATGGCCATCGAGATCGAATCCCCCGAATACAGGTACGAAAAGATCAAATACAACCTTGAGTTCCATCGCAGACCAAACTCTAAAGTTCCTGGGTCTCCACATCCCCAATCTTAAGCTTCTCTACAACGAGCACAAAGGCAGCACAGCACTCCGCTCCCTCATCGTGAAAGACCACGATAACCTCACCCACGAGGATGTGCTCATTCCGTCCGGCGCGGCGGGCGCTCTCTTTATCATCTCGAGCTCCCAGCTGGCACCGACCGACCACCTCGTTGTTGTTCGTCCGAACTACGCCACGAATCTTGAGACGCCGCGTGCGATCGGGTGTGGGATCACGTTCATCGATCTATCCTTTGAACTTAGTTTTTAGATCGATATTGCCGCGGTTGAGGCGGCTATTGAACCAAACACCAAGATCATTAGTATTACCACACCCCACAACCCTACTGGTACTGTCGTGAACCGTGGCACACTGGACAGACTCGTCTCCTTGACCAATGAGAGGGGAATCATCTTGCTAGTCGACGAAACCTACGCCGATATCGCGTACCAAGGACGTCTTCCGATTGCTGCATCTCTAGGTGACCATGTCATCAGCGTTTCATCCCTGTCCAAATCCTACGGGATCCCTGGTATCCGGCTGGGGTGGATTATTAACAAGAATCCCAAGCTGCAGGAGACGTTCTTGGCGGCCAAAGAACAGATCAGTATCAGCGGTAGTGTGATCGACGAGTGGATCGCTGAACAGGTTCTCTCCCGCAAGCATGAGATCTTGAGTGCTAAGGAAATGGACCAGCGTCGCAAAATTGTGGCGGAGTGGATCCAGAAGGAAGGGGAGTTGGTTGAATGGGTGAAGCCAGAAGGGGGCGTTGTTTGCTTTCCTCGCCTGAAGAAAGGGTCTGCGGGTGGTCTGGATGCTTTTTATCATCGGTTGCTACATAAATATGGGACCTATGTTGGGCTTGGTCATTGGTTTGAGCAGTCGGATGCTTTCATGCGTATTGGGTATGGATAGCCGAGTGTGGAGGAGCTTAAGGGTGGGCTTGAGGCTGTTTCTATGGCGCTTCGGCAAGAGCATTAGATATATCTATCTCTGATGGTCACCTTTTAGAGGCAATTGTATCCGATTCTTAACAGGGTTGGGAAGTTGAATTCATTATGCAGCTGTTGGGAATATAGACATTTCTGGACTCATCAGATACTAGTAGTAACACTACTACTCACTACTCGTTTAGTTTTGGAAGCAATGTTGTTTTCACATCAACGTTAAAATTATGGCATTTGTATGACTCTTGGAATAAATTTAGAACGTTAGTTACACTTTCTCTCCATGTTCAGCCTTATTTTATCACTATAGTGCCCCACAATTACAGCCATTTTTTAGTGGTGCTTGACCCTTATTGTAATCTAGATCCGCACTCGAGCCATGCCCCATGGCCTCAACTACGGTAGACTAAATCGAGCTAACGGACAATGGACCAGGTTTCCGCATTCCTTACCGAAATCCTAGCGTTTTATATAAATCCACGGCTACCACGCATCTTAAAAGACTTAGTGTCTTACCGCCCCCGAACCTCGCCACCACCCCCAGAACTGGGGCCCTAGCTTAGGGTAGCCAGAATACTAAAAATCTAAAATCTAAAAGGGACTATAGAGATATAGTACTAGTATCCCTAAACACCTAGTACTAACATCCCTAAGTATCTAGGATCCCTAAGAGACTTTTAAAAGCGGTCAATATCTCAGGACTGGACTAGTTAATAGTCCAAAAGTATAGAAGTAATTTCAAGTATATAATTGGTTAAAACTTAAGGTGAGGCTAGATAAATAGATCTAATTGGTCAATATAAAGTGCGTTGGTATTTATAAAGTGGGTAATATTTTACATTGTCCATTAGCTCGATTTACTCCGCTGTACTCACCTGCTCCACTTATGAATAAAGACCGATCCAAAGACTTGCACACATCTCAGAAACCGTATCTTACTCAAGAAAGAGCATCAATTTCACTCAAGCCATCACCAGGCTTACCAAAGAGTGCCCGTCACGTAAAATGCGACTGGCCAAATATACGTAAAGTACGGTCTTGCCACTGCACGTCCAAACTTGGTGCAACCGTGATCGCGAGAAATTCCACTCACATTACGAGTTTAATCAAAGAGTACTTAAAAAAGTCTCGTTATCAAATTTCAAAATTACTTTCCCCTCGATTGACAACAGTGGAGCGCGTAAATTCTTACCCAGTTGCAGAAGAGCCAGACTATTACAAAGCCGGGGGTTTTCACCCTATTTCCCTAGGCGATAGTTTCCAAAATGGCCAATATTCTACAGTTTGACTAGCTAGAGATACTAAGTGCGTTATCTACTGCCGTGGCATACGAGGCTAACGGATAGGATAGGCATCAGAAATACGTAGCACTCAAGGCTCTAAGGGCTGATTGTTATGGTGGCCACCATGACATCTTCGAAAGAGAGATCCTCTCGAAAATTTTAGAAGTTTCTAGGCACAGCTCTCATCAATGCCGCAACTATGTCTCCCATCTACTTGAGCAATTCACGCATACAGGACCCAATGGAGATCACGCTTGCTTAGCGTTCGACGTGCTAGGACATCACCTAGACTTCCAAATCGCCAAGTACGAAGATGGAAAGCTACCTGTGAGGGCTGTGAAAACGATAGCACGACAGCTCCTTCTCGCGCTTGATTTCCTACACAGAGAGTGTGGCATCATTCATACGGGTACGGCGGATTCCATAATATAACCCACTATTGTAAAGCTGACATGTCTTTGATGTAGATTTGAAGCCAACGAATATACTCTTAGAGCTGGAGAATAAAAGCAGGACTATTGCCCACTATCTGTCAGAAGTTCCTGCGCGGACTGACTCTCAACGTGGAGTCACAACACCTCTTCGAGAGGCTATCCCGACCTCCCTAGTATCGGAAACAAAAAGTCTCCACGTCAGGTTAATCGATTTCGGTGTTGGTAAGTAAACCACATCATTTCCTTCGCTCATGAAACTTATTATGATTATATAGCGTCTTGGAGGGAGCGTCATTTGTCGGATTTCATCCAGTCGCAAGCCAGAGGGCTGCTGAGGTGACGATAGGCGCCCCTTGGGATACTGGTGTGGATATATGGAGCCTAGGGTGCCTTGTAAGAACATCTTGTTTGATAAATCTTTGCACCACAGTGCGATTTGGCTCATATACTGAAACAGGTTATGGAGCTTGTGCAAGGAATAGTTCTTTTCTCTGGGGAAGCATCACCAAAATGGAATGTGGACGGCTGAAGATGACCATCTAGCAAGGATTATGGAAGTCCTTGGCCAATTTCCGCTTCATTTCATAGAAAAAGGGAATCGTGCAGCACACTTCTTTGACAAGCAAGGTAGGCTCTCTTGATCTCCGTTGATATTCTATTCCTTTAATCGTTTGTTCCAGGAAATCTTCTCCGAATTCCTGACCTCAGGCCCACCTGCCTTGAACGTCTAGTTAATGGTACGACAAAACCTTTCCTAAAACCTATCGATATGCCCGAAGCTGAAGTTCCCATCTTTGTTGATTTCCTTGAGGGCGTGATCGAAATCGACCCAGGCTCCCGCAAGCCTGCGGCTGAGCTGCTACAACACGAATGGATTCGTCCGTAGAATCTAGACATGATTCGTACACGGCTTTTGGAGAATCTCTTGAACGCTGTTGTTCTGCACATGAAGAATAATGAACCTGGATGTGCCTTAGCCATTGCCTTAGCCAATTACGTAGGTCTACAGATATCATCTCGACAAAGTTTTGTAGACTAGATTAGGAGGTGATAATTGCCCTGTCTCATTGGTAAGCAGGGCCAGCCACAGAGTTTTGTGGTTGGCACAGTGATATTTATTAATAAAAGGCGGTCTGTCCTTGACTTTCTGACCATCACTGCCCGTTATCATTCGTATTTCTCTTGTAGCTACAACGATCAGATAGCCATGGAATTTGATCATCTTGTTGAAAAGAAACAGAACCAGAAGGCTACCGCTTGGCTAAACCTTTGGTTGAGCCGGACTCCAGAGATTTTGTCTATGCAACTTGCAGAGAAGCATCGGCCTGGAGTAGTTGTGTCTGCGTGCCTATAGAAAAGCGGTGCTTTCAATATATGCTATTGCGTCAGATATAAAGATGGACCAGATGTCATTGTTCGTTTTGCCACCCTGGGAAGGGCCATTCTACGCAGGGAGAAAGCCGAAACTGAAGTCGCGGCAATGAAGTATATAAGCCACACCTCTTCTATACCTGTTCCTGAGGTTTTCGGCTCTAGAATCTGTTGGGCTAGTCCTTACATCGTCATGTCGTTTCTCAAAGGGGTGCCATTATCACAGATCCTCAAAGACCCTTCTACGAAGGAAAGACCTGTGCTAAACCCGCAAATAAGCGATTGGAGCTTGAAACGGGCGTATCATGAAATGGCCGCGATTATGCTCGAATTGTCCAAGTATAGATTTGACTCTATCGGCTCGCTTGGGGGAGATGAGACAGGCTTTTTTATTGCTAGACGACCTCTCACTTTCAACATGAATGAGTTGATGGCATCTGCAAATTTACCGGAAGAAGTGTTCCCCTCGCACACGTTCAGGTCAGCCACAGACTACTTTCAAGCGCTTGCTACACAGCATTTGTTCCATCTTCGGCTACAGCAACGAAATGCTGTCATCGACGAGGACGACTGCCGGAAGAAATTCAACGCCCGTTGTTTATTTCTCAATATTGCGAAGAATCTCTGCGTCGAGTATCCTGAAGGGCCGTTTCGGCTGTATTGTGATGATTTCCGGCCTTCGAACGTCCTTATAGATCTTGACACTCTCCGCGTCTCGGGAGTTATCGACTGGGAGTTTTAAAAACCTATGCCGCGTCTGCTGAGTTTACATATGTGGCTCCTTGGTGGCTCTTGTTGCAAAGTCCGGAGGACTGGGAGGGTGATCTCAATCAGTTCCTGACTCGTTATTCCCCTAAACTTCGTGCTTTTCTGGAAGTCCTTAGCGACCATGAAAATATGCTGATCAAAGAACATCTACTGCGCCTTTCTCCACGGATGGAACGCTCCATGGAGACTGGGTTATTCTGGGTATGTTTTGCAGCGAGATACAGCTTTATATTCGATGAAATCTATTGGACATTTATCGACCGTCACTATTATGGAGCCTTTACATCTCTTGATGACCGTGTAGTGCTTTTGGACGAGGAACAGCAACAAGAGATGAACGAGTTTGTGAAGCTCAGGACTGGCCAGTGCACTGATGATGAGAATTTCGACGATCACTATTCAATTGATAAGCTACTTGAATTATAAGTATACTTATCGTATCGAGTTATAGTGCAGTCCAATAATAGCATCTACAAATACTACGGCTAGACCCCGTTAAAAGTAGTTGAACTCGTCCCTGTTCCTACTCTTTCGCCATCTTCACACTTTCATTGCATAGAATTACCAGATGAGTATGAGTTTATGGCCTATCACAGATCGATACTTCTTTTGTATGGGGTTTACCGGCGCAATATTTTTCCTGCTCTGAATACAGTATAGTCTCAGCCGAAGCTCAGGTACGTGATTCCCCAGACATTAAGTCCTCCGTCTTTCCAACTACGGTGTGCTTAGAATTTAGTCCAACTCCAGCGCATTTAGGTATCTATATAACACTCAACCCCTTCCAAGATAGAAAGTTCATTGACGGTATCTCAGCGCTTAATATTATTCATTTTCTCCACCTTCACACAATGGCATATCAACCATCAAGGAGACTACTCCATCTCTACAAACCGGCCCTTAAGTCTTATCACTCCCGACGATATGCTGCAAGCATCCCAACCAGTCTCTACACTCAGCAATCATGTCGCATGACACCGTACAACCTCTATCGACCTTTCAGCATCTACCCCCCACGATGCAATTCTACCGCCACGGTACGCATTGACAGTCTGGGCGGGGAGTCCATAGACACGTGCACGCTGAAGTCGTTCCACTGCAAAGTAGGAGATTATGTGGAACGGCACGACGTGCTGGCCGTTATCGAGACAGAGAAGGTTGGAATGGACGTAGAAGCTCCCGAGAGTGGCGTTATACGACATCTCTTTGTGAAAGAGGGGGATGTCGTTACTGTTGGGCAGGCTATTGCTGAGATTGATATTCAAGTTAAGAAGGGATAAGAGTGCTTCTGAATACCAGTACTGAGTTTGGTAATGGGGCTGAGGGTACTGATTCTTCAAAACATTCAGAGCCAAATTAGGGCTGTATGTATAGGAGCATAGTCCTAAGTAAACTAAAAGACCGTTGAAATCAACTTATTATGGCCCTTTGAGAGAATCAACAAACATTAAAGAAACTACAAATACCTGCATACAAAACAACAACAACACCCTATGGCCGTTCAGCGTCATCCACCCATGTGCCATCCCTCCTCACCCACGAAACAGACCCAACGCCGGCGCCCTCAGGATGGTCATGGAAAAGCTCTCCAGACGCGGCAACGCAGCAGCAAGACCCAGCATATCAGACGACGAAGGGAACACGTCCCGGAACAGATCCTGCAACTTGACCGAGTCCGCAATCTAGATGAATTAGCCACACTAACCACCTTCAATAAAACACACACCACCACACACCACACGACTCAAAAGAAAGAAAGAAAGACTTACATC